AAATTATTTATAAAATTAATTATTATATATTAAACTGATATGTTCTTAAAATATTGATTGTATAAATTCTCAAAAAAATATTCAAACAAAACTGAATATTTATATAACAACAGTAATGTTCAGTTTTAAATGCAGAAAATATCATCAGGTGATGTTTTATTAACTTCCACAATTAAATTACTTTAAGAAGTACCAAACTTGCAGACTTGAGAACAGCATTAGGTAATTCAAATATTCTTCCCCAACCAGGACAAACATTGCATTAGATATTATTCATAAGCTCTTGTGATATTCTATCAAAAAGAATGTTTCCAATCAGAAAAGAGGTGGTCAAAAATGATGAGCATCGTCACAGTGGATACAACTGAAACAATCCGTTTGTAAATCAAGCATTTGTTTATATAAAGATTCTGTTACTCGAAAACACAGCCACAAAGATAAGAATTTAAATAGAAGTATTAAACCAAAAGAAATTCTTTCTAGCAACATACATTGATATCCTTACTTTACAATTGCTTCCTTTACAACTCCCACATCTATGGTATGAATATATTAAATATAACATTTTATGAAATCAATAAATACTGTATTTTTACAAACAAGAATTACAATAATTTCTCAGATTCTTACTTTATAATATTGTGTAAAATTCCACAAGTATAGAGTGTTATATAAGAGTTAGAGATGATTGTATTCTTAAAAAGATTTAATAGAGATGTAATTATAATTTGTTTTTCATAACTTTTCAATGCATAAAGTGTAAAAGTCTCCATTTTTTGGCCATTTCAGAAGCCAAAATAAAAAGTGAAAAAAATTGTATTTATCTAAAAAGTTGAATATAATTAAAATTCATGTTTAGTCAGACAAAGAGAATCATGCTAGAAAGTGAAATTATGACTTTTTTTAAACAAAAAAAAACACAGTCTGAGTGAAATAAAATGATTACAGATGAAATAAATTTGAATAAAATTATCACATTATAAATCAGGAAGGTAAAGAAAGTCCCAAATTTTATAATTCAATAGCATATTAACAAAATCTTTAGATTCATACATGTAAAACTATAAATCAAATAATTGATATAATTGTTTTTAATAAATTTAATTCTAAAAATGAATATTTTACAAACAAGTTTAAATTAGAAGTTTTAAATAAATATGCATTTACAGTTAATAAATAACATAAACAATAGGGTCTTCCTATACACAATAAATTCCAAGATTCCTCATGTAAAATAGCAAATTCCATTAATTATTACTTTCTAAACTAACATAACTATCACACATTTTCATAAATCATACCATAATCAGCAATATTATAAATCATAAAAACAATTTTAAAAAATTTTGGGAAGCTGATTTTTTTCTTCTTTTCTCACTAAATCTAAACTTAATTTTTCTCTTCTAAAGTAGCCACTTTATGGCCTTTTTATTTACTTATCAGAGCTATCAACATCACTATTCTTGCATTTTGTAGCCTCTTTTTCAAAGTTATTAGCATAAATGAAACTAAGAGAAGCACTGATATCACACGGACACGTGTTACAAGCGAGAACATCACACAATGACTGATGTGAGTCCTAGTGTTTATTGAAAAACAAAGAAATGCATTACAGTAATACTTCCAGAATGAGTAACACTAACAGTCAAAGAATGAGCGAGATGCTGTGAAATGAGATGAATCTTAAAAATGGTTTGGATTTAGTGAACAATTAAGAATTTTTATTTTTCATCTATTTTTCCAGCCTGCCAACAGTTAAATCTGAAATCATGTATGGTGAGTCCACATATGGTGGGATCATACCATATATTAAACTGTAATAAATAAAATAGTAAGAAATATGAGGAGATTAACTTTTTAAAATTTTTGAGTTGAATGACTTCTTTCTTATAAGCTGTATACTGGTTAAAGATTATTTTAATATTATAATTTTGTTATTTTGGTAAATTATTTTTGTTTTAAATTTAATTAAGTATTTTCACAAAGACAGATTAATTTCTGTCAATTAAATCAAACAGAATTTGATTCAATATTATTAACTTAAAAACATTGTTTATTGTAAAAAGAACTTGATATATATTCTTAAATTTGTAAAAATAACAGAATAACAAACTATAAACTTATTTATTTTCTCAATAGAACAAGACTAATAATTCAAAATTTTTTATTTATTTATTTATTTATTTTTAAACTGTAAATCTGTTCATTAATTTTAAATTAAAGAATTTTGTTTTAAGGTTAATTTTTAGTAATAATAGGTTCATTTTATCTGCACAGAATTAAATATTTTACCCATACATCATTTGTTAATATTTAAAAGAATCAGAATAAAAGAATTCACACTCAAATTATTGGACTGCATAGTTTAGGTGATACAGAACATCTTTTGTCTTATAAAGTATAAAACTGGTCCATTATTGCTTGTCTTGAACAAAGTGAAATATAATTATTTGCTTTTTGTCTTATATTTTAATTAATTTTCTTAACAGCTATTTTTAATTTGCTATAAATAACAATGCATAGATATTTGCATGTCAGAAAAACTAGGAGGAGAATACCGATTGTGTTTAAAATTTAATGTCAAATATAAATTGGAAAAGACAAGAATACTCGAAATATAATCAACTGAGGAAGGGTAATAATCGGCCTGAAATGTACATATTGGTTTAATAAAATTTCAGTGAACTTTTCAATTGAAAACTGTGGTCTGATAAGTCCTTAAAATTTATAGCAAATTAAAAATAGCTATTAAGATTATTGTGTATAAATATAAAGTGTCAAAGTGAAGTATATAAAGTGAATATAAAGTGAATGTCAATGTGAATAAGTGTTTGACAGTATATAAAGATTCCTTACACAGACAGTATGACAGTCATAGTGTAAAATATATATATATATATATAATTATATTTAGTACTTTATAAGAATTCATTATAACATGAGTTTTAGCCATATTAGGCAATCAAATAAAAAGCTAACTAGCAAGAAGTAGACTTGGCAACAGTGATTCAGCCTTGCTACACATTACAACAAACACTTAAATCTTAAATGTTTATTATGGATTAAGGGTAACAGTTGATACTCTTCACTAATGTCATCAAGTCTACTACTCACAAATAAACTTTTTGTTTAATCGTCCTGTGTAAGAAAATTTAAATCTAAATTATATATTAATCTAATTTCATTTGTGTAGACAAACTTAAGAGTTAGTTGTAATTTAATGATTTTGTATTACTCATGCAATTAAAAAAATTAAATTTATTAATTTTTAAAAAGTTTTAATGAATAAGTCATTGAAATCTGTAGAGATATGAAATAAAATTGACTTTTCAAAACTATCTCACTTGTACACATCTGTTTTTCTGAAGAATTCACACTCAAATTTCAATGCTGTTAAAGTACACTAAAGACAGAACACAAACAAGTTTTTCTCGTCATTGAAAAATAGATTAAGGAATTAGAAAATTATTATTACACTTATAAAATTGTTTTGTATATTTATGTTAATTAAGTCAAACAATTAATATGATTAAAGTGTATTTGAACTGTTGCAAATGTTTACATTATCACTGTTATTTTTCTTATAATGAATACTTACACAGAGTTATTAAATGTTGCAGCAGAAGGCTTATACCTTTTCTATGTTTTCCTTTAGTTGCACAATAGCTTGCTGCATGTTTGGAATTTCCATGTTATTTTTGTCGGCGGCAACTTTTATGATGTCTTCAGCACTCTTATACCTTCCTCTGGTCAACAGCCATCTAGGAGACTCTGGAATAAAACTGTGAGAAATATAATAATCATTTTACAATTGCTTAATTGTTAAGTTTTATTTGGAATTTAATCTATTAAAAATTCCAAACCATTATATGACAAATTTATTTATTTAAGTTATAACAATTAAGAATTAATTTTTAAAACTAACAAATTACTTATTAGAAAGACAATTTTAATTAAAGTAAGATTTAGAAATAAAAGGCTTGGTTTTTTTACCTAAAAACTTATTGACAATAACAATCATTAACAAAACACTTTCATTTTTAATTCTTTCTGCCTTGAGCTAAAGAGCCTTTTTAATCATATCCATTACAAGTTTGTTACACACACACAATAGGAGTGGCTGGATAATGAGGAAAGGAGCCAAATAAATGGCTTGAACTGACTTGCAAGATCTATGACATGGGTGGATGGGCACCTTAGTCAAAAATCAGATCTTGCAAAATTCTTGCAGCCAGGCTCTCAACTTCTTAGTTCAATATATCTGTGAGACTGCCCACAAAAAATTCCCAAGGTGACCTTGACTAACCCATGTCCCCAGGAGTGACAGGCTGATATGTTTACTACCTTTGCCAACCAGCCATCTAATAAACAACATTAACTGTAATTAAAAGCTAAAAATATAAAAATAAATTTAAAATTTTCTATCTTAACAAAATTGCCTAGTATTTTTGCATCAAATAACAATTCTTATTTTAAATACAAAAACAAAAAATAAATATAAACTGTAGTCATATATAGTAAACTCTCATTTTTACAACTCATATAGATTTTCTATTATTGTATGAAATAATGTATACAAATGTAATATTTATTTTTGTTAGCCATCTCTGTGATAGTAAATAGTTCATATTACCTTTCCAGGAATATAATTTTAATTTATGTTGATTTAATTTTAATTTTAAACTAAGTTTATGAGAAATAAGGCTACTTATTTAATGTCTCCAGCTATGTGAGTAGCAACACGAATCATGTTGACAGTGATATATGATACAAAATTCAGTGTAAATTAACCCAATAGTTGCAAGTGATAAAAATGAAAGGTCCACATGTTTCACTAGAAAATATTCTTGCCTTCATATACAAAGGCAGTTTTGTATCAAAAATATAGAAAACTGGAAATTTATTAATCAATTTAAATTAAAATAATAATAATATGCTGCTTTCTAATATTTAATATAAAATATTTTTTGATTCTTAAACACTATGTAGTGTAATAAATTCAAATACTTTGTGCATTCTATCATCTTTATTTAGTGCAGTTGATATGTGTTTAAAATACACATTTCAGGCATAACATGCCCCTCTTCAGCCAACTAAAATTATATCAAAAAATACATACAGCACGTAAAAGGTTAAAAAATATATACAAGTGGTAAAGATATTTTAGAACATACCTCGGGAGAAGTGTCACAACACAGTTTCAGATTATCAAAAATAAAATATCTTAATTTTACATTCATTTGATTTTTGAATGTTAAATATTCTCTATTTGTTTTACTTAATTATTATGAAACAATTATTAACTTTCTTAAATCCGTCAGAAACTTGAAATATTTTTATTTTTTTAAACTAATTTTCTGTTGCATATGAAAATATTTACAAAAATCAATTTAAAACAACAATTTAAGAATACAGAAAAACAAATAAATATAACTAGAATCTTGCTTAATATCCTTGTAAAATTTCCCCACAAAAATTTATTATATTAAAAATAACATAAACAGGATAGTAAATATTCTGACAAATCATACTTCTAATGAAACCATTAATAATTTATTTCAATTAAAAAAAAACCACATTTAACAATGACTTGCTATTTGAAATGTGAAAACCCACCAATGAATATGTAAATAATGTGTTTTCTCTTTTCCTTATAAGGGAAAGTAATATTTCAAAATTAAAAATACAATTAAAAAGAATAACGAAGAATGCATGAAAACAATAAAACAATATTAGTTCTATTCCAATTGCTGGTAATCTGTACAAAATTTCTATATATTTACCAGCAATTATACTGTCTGTACAACAAAATAGTCATTACAAATGAATAAATGTAGAAAAAAATCTAATAATGAATTATGCAATTATTAAGATTTGTAATTTAAAGACTTGCAGTACAGAGACTGAATGAAAATACCAAACTATCAAATTTGGTTCTTTATTTATAAACAAAGAGGTTATTTATAAAGAGCTAGGACTCTCATTTTAAAAATACCTTAGCTGATAGGAATGAGACAAAAGTCCCGATATTCATATTAAATAATACTTCTGTAAGGTTATTAATATAAATCAAAGTAAAGTCATATTTGACAATAAAGAAAATGCAATTGGTTTGCATAAGAATATAATTACTGTAAGTATGCAATTTAACACAATAATAGAGATCCCTTGACAATTACAAAGTTATCCAGGCAAGAAGTTTACATATAACATAAACAATTATTAATATTTATTGTGACATTGTCACAATGACAGGCTGCAATTTTTTATCATATTTTTAAATTTATTTAATTTAAAATATATACAGTAAAACCTGTCTATGGCAACCACCCATGGTTCCTTCAAAAAGTGGTCTTTTAGATAGGTGGTCGTCCAATACAGGTGGTGCTGTAATACCATATTTCCGTACGTATTTTGCGCACTTTTTAGCCATTTCTACTAAGCAAAACTCGAGGCGAGCAAAAATAAGCGAATTTTTTCAACGATAGGGCTATATTGGTATTGTATTTTATTCTTATCGGATAACCCGATTTACAGGAGTCGTCATGATATTATAAGACAGATTTAACACCAATATTTTAAAGATTAATACAATACTCGCATTTTCTCGATTATAATGCACACTTTCTTTTTTCCGACTTAATTAATTCGACTCGGTTCTTTTCGTTCGCTCCTCAGTTACGTGTATTACGTCATCAATATACAAGCGCGTCCTATCTCTCCATCACTTTGCTTTTGGTTTTTGTTAGTTTAATCTTATTTTAACTTTAAAAATACTGTATTTTTTAATATTTAATATTTTATTAATTAATTAAGTACAATAAGAAAAATTATTAATTAATAATAAAATGATTTTATTATTTTTTCTCATTATACAATTTCATTACATCGCGGAATCAAAAAAGGAAGTAAAACTGATTTTTGCATTAACGCGTTTATTGTTTTTTGAATATTTTGCCTGCAAAAATTACTTGAATATTATTTTTCTAAAAGTATCGTGGAAATAAGGTAGGTTGATACAGAAACTATTTATCGCACATATACTGTATATGAGCTTCAAAATAAATAAATAAAAATAGATTTTATCAAACAATGAGATCAGCCAATTAATTGTATCATGTAAAATATTTTACACCCCAAGAAAAATACTGTAGGTCTAGGATAAAATAAATTTTGTTTTCCCCACAGTTAAACTTCGCCGCTAATTGCTGTTGTGATAACTTTAATACGATCTTCTAACAACAGCACTTTGCATTTCTGTCATTTTTCGGACATTTTCCAACAAACTGAAATGAATTTCCTTTGTTGCTAGACTAATTTATTAACACCTGCATCTAATTTCAAGGGTGGGAGAAGTGCCCAGGATGGGTTCGAATAAGAGTTTAGACTAATTCATTATATTAGGAGATGGGTTCTTACAATAGTTTAGACCAGATACATTTGCGAAAGTGGTCACTTATTACAGGTGTTGTATGTTGTTTCGGACCAAAAATCGATGCCCGCGGGCACGTTACACGGGTGGTTGTTTAATACAGGTAACTTATATGAAGACTCTATGGATAAACTATTCCGTGTCAGAAATTTTTGCCCGTTTTGACAGGTGCCCATCAAATGCAGGTGGTCACCTAAACAGTTTTCACTGTACTCTCAATTTTAGTAGTGTCTTGCCTGTATACATCACACTTTTTCTGTTAACAATAGAGTTGTGACAGTCATCTATCTAATTCTCTTTTGGAGAAAATTTTTGAATTGAAATAGCATGACTTCCAGTCCAAACCAGAAGTTCATATACAGTTAATCAGGGCCTCCTGTTCTAAGTTTTCCATATCCAGCATCGACTTAGATAGATAGATAGATGAACTATCTATCTATCTATCTAACTTTATTCTCGAGATTAAGAAAGGACAGATGGATGCCAATGGAAATTTATAGGTCTGTAATTTGAAAATTGCACCCCAATTTGTACAGCAAAGTTCGAATTCTCTCAAAATTATATGTATACAATCAGTTTCTTCAATGTTAAAAAGGAAAGGAACATTAAAAATAAACTGAAAATAGAAAAAAAAAGCTTACTGTGAGGAATTTTCTAGTAAACCAGAAAAATTAATATATTGAGGAATGCTGATATTTTAAATATTACACATACATACATTTGTTTATGAGGATGAATTACGCAAGAAGGTATCAACATTTCCACATTTTTAATTACTTTATTGCTCAGAACACTGTTTTCACAGCTGGCATAAATTTCCTGTTATGTTTGAATAAAATAATGTACTTAAATACTTCACTTTTTGTTTGGTATCATAACAATGGGTTATATAGTTCAAACTATACTTCTATCTGAATTCATAATACTGAACCTGTAGGAAAAATGATGGCTTGCTTACCAGTTTTCAAAGAATAAATTAAATTGTAAAGTGTAGGTAATTTCTTTTGTATTGTCTTTATAGTAACTAAATTATTCACATGAATAAATAAGAAAAATTAGTCTATAAATATTGAAATCTTAATTAATGTAGGTGCACATAGCCAGCAGTATTAGATGAAAATGAGCTTAGATAGACTTAACCAAGCATCTCTCAATTGTCAAGATAAAAGAGAACTAATAGTATCAGTCATTCATGCTCATTGTCATCTTAATTTTGCCACTCATGTGCATTGACTTTTAAAATTATAAAAAATTTTACACTTACCACCAGTATAAAAGTAATATAGATCCTAAAGCAGTACTGAATATTTGCAGATAGACCCAATCTCTTAACAGATATGCTATTCCAGGTAGCAACATTAAGCCTGTAGCCCATCCAAATGAGAATGCAAAAGTAACTTTTGTTCTGTATTCTGGTCCAAGAACTTCCATCACTAAATGGAAGGATGTAATTCATACGTTATTAAGCAAATATATTTCATTTTTTATTTAATATTTGAAATATTATGTAGATTTAAGAAATACTCACATAAACAGAAGGCCGTATTTTGTGCACCAGCAACACCAAGAGCAAGACAAAATCTTGCAATATTAAAAAATATATAAGTAGGAGAAAGTGCCGTTGCAATACCTGAAATCAGCATCAGGGTTACGGAATATCGTAGAATTGGTTGGCGCCCAAATCTTGGAAAAAATATTGAATTAAAATATAAATGATAATTTAGTCTTAATCTACTTATAATATCAAATAATAATTTTCTAAAAAGAATAAGTTTCTTTAAAAATTTTTAATTTACCTATCAGCAAGATGTCCAGATATAATAACTCCTGCTGTCATCCCTCCCATATATACACTCTGAGACAGAGAAATAAGCCACCCATTTTTACAAACTAAATCAAACTGAAAATAAAATTAAAATAGAATGTTACTCTGAAATCCTGGCTATTGTCTTTATATTTAAGTTTATTATTAAACTACTAACAATAAGTATAAAAATTAAATTAAAATACTTTATACTTAAAAATTATAAATGTTTAATAACAAAATTTAATACAGAAATTCACATGCTGTATTTTAGATCTGTATTAAGCTTCTTCAAGGTGCAGAAAATGTTCTTTTAAAATAGAAATAAATGTAAATTTAAGTCACTAATGACATATCAAACCTATTTTGACCTCTTGGAAGTTATAATGTTAAAAAATTAAATATGAAGTCATTACTTTTTACTTAATTGATGTATCTTATTTTAAACATTCTTATGACAAAATTATGCAAGATTTTATTTTGAAAATTTGATCAGAAAGAGTAAAAGATACCTGTTCTGAAATTTAATAGACAAATTATAATTTAATAGAGTAGAAAATCATTAATCTATCAAATTTTGAAAAAGAAAAAATTTCAAAATTTAGAGATTATGAATGATAAATTTTGTTGACAATAAATATTTGCCTCTAATTGATTTAGTCATTTCATTGAAATGACTCAGCTACAAGTTTTCCTGAATGAAATGAGAAACAAGTAGCTGTTCCAAACCAGTTTTAGCCATAAATATTAAAATAATCTTAAAATATATCTCAGTTAACTGACAATAAGTGTATGTATACCATATTTAGATAAATGCTTTCTAGTCAAATTCATTTATAGAAAAAAAAGATTTAGTTTATATTTCATTCTAAACATGTTAATAAGAAAAGATAAAGTCTTAAAAATCAATTATTATAACATATTCTCATTAAATATTCAAAATAAAATCTTTTCTTGATTATTATTTTCACTTGGACCTAAAACTAAGGGGTCTATTATGTATATAAATATTAGTTTTCAAATTTTTTTTAATTTAAAAAGAATATGAATTAAAGAATCTAAACAGATTAAGAATTTGGATGAATTAATGGATTATGAATTTCAAATACAGTATTACATTTTGCTAATGTAATATTCATGAAGACATCTTACATTTACACTTGTGAGATTTATTTATAAATAGAACTAAAACAAATAAAAATAGGCTAGTTTATTTTTCATTTTGTTTGTCAACATGCAATGTTTTAAATATTAATATTAATTTTATATTTACTTACATCATTAATTATTGTCGACTGATAAAAACTTCTATCAAATTCCCACGAAGAACAATATACAGTTTTATTTTTATTAACATAAATATCTTCTATACTACTACTACCATTTAATCTCTCTAGTTTGTACATGTAGCAATGGCTATACTCTACTTTATCATCATGATTTTCTAAAGGTATGGAATAGTTTTTCCAATCTGCTATACTCCAATTTTGAAAAAGTGAAGGCCTCTTACACCAGTGATCCACGTCAAATGCAAAAAATGGAGTGCTGAGATTATGGAATGCAGTAGGTAATCCTCGTAAAAGAAATAATATAAAAATGACTCTCTGCCATGGTCCGTACTTTCCGATGACATCGGTCACGTCTTTCATTGCTTTCTAAAATAAATAAAAAAATAAATTATTTTAATCTGAAATTATTCTTGTAGTGCTGTGAAAATGCTTTCTACATTTTACGAACAAAATAAAATGATTCAATTTTTATACATACTGTAATAATTAATAAATATGTTATTAGTGTTTTATATAATATTGATGATAAAAATAATAAATTTAATAATATTAATATATTTATGCATTTGCCAATCTTAATAAAAGCAAAAGTTTTGCTATACAAGGAAAGGCTAGAAAGCCAAAATTGGGGATTTTGGTAAATTGAACATTGCTTGGATGCAAAAAAATTGGCAAACATTTGGCAAATACAGTACATATATACAGTATGGCCACCAGTGGCCAAGTGATTCCATCCCTGATCACTGGGAGTTCAGTTGTGGGTTCATGCCTCACCAGGACAGGCTGGCCATGTGGAGTTTTCTGGATTTTCTCCACATCTGTAATGCCTGAATAGGGGCCAGTTACTCGTAAAAAGACCTTCCGTAAGGCATTCCTCCCCCGCATAACATCGGGGGAAGAATGCCTTCATCAATGTCCAGAGAAGGCAATGGGGGTACAACTCTGGTACTAACTTCCCCAGGACACCACTTTGGTGTGCAACTAATCAATATTAACCTATGCCGGGTGTTTGCCAACATTGGGGTGACTTGACATGGCACATGAAGAGAGATATACAGTATACCTCCTGAAGTTATAATGTTAAAAAATTAAATATGGAGTCATTACTTTTTACTTAATTGATGTATCTTATTTTAAACATTCTTATGACAAAATTATGCAAGATTTTATTTTGAAAATTTGATCAGAAAATAGTATACAATCATTTGATACAATATTTAAAATATAAAAACTATATATGCTAAATATTTTGCATTTATTATGTACAGATTTTTGATTTGGTTACTTTGCTGAAAGTGAAATTACAGATAATGTACAGTATGCGATAGTCATTCTTAAAAGAAAAAAAGCTTCGGTTAACTGATTTTTGGGTAACCCTGTGCTGTATCACTTTATTATACCCGACAAGTTCTTAAGCTTAAAATACAATTAAACAAATTTATAATCTAATTAAAACAAAATATGATAAATTTCAAATATATTTAATTATTAATAATGAATAAAATTCTAATTTCTTAAACTATGACTAACTTTTCTAAACTCAGAATGTTGCTTTATAAGTTAACCAAGTTCTAACAATTCAGTTTTGTGGTTATATACATTTTAAAATCATTAAAAAAGTCAGCAACAAGTTGCTTAACTTTCCCAGCAACATTTAGTGGCACCATCTGTTATCATATTTTATTTTTAATTATTATAAAATGGCAAAAAGCTTAATTTTGAGGGTAGGAGTGGGTTTTATAAAAAAAATTGTAAATGCTAATAACAAGTAAAATAGTCATTAAGTCCTATCCCATTCAAGATACAACACACGACCCATTTTATTTCCCCCACCAACCTTTAACCATCAAAATTTAATAGCATCAATCCCTCTAATATGCAAACCTCCCTGAAAAATTTCAGAAATTTTTGATAAATATAAAATGTAAAAATCTTGTGAGAATCATTTTTTTGACCAATTGCAATATTTTCCCTCTTATATATAATAGCCAGAAAAGTAAAAAATTACAATGAATAAACTCTTCACGTTATAAATTATTTATGTTAATAGATTTAGTCTATCAACATAAATAATAAACTGCCAATTAATTCCAAATAGTATGAAGTATTTTAAAAATTATAAAAATGTTTGTATGCAACAGGATATGGTACAGGAAAAGTAGAGCCTCGATTATCCGACCCCCGATTAACCGACATCTCGGTTAACCGACCGTCATAGTCGGCAAATTTCAAATGCCCGCTAGTGATGTGGCGCTACAATATTTGGCTATGTCTTGGCTTCTTTAATATTATTTTTACGTGTTTTAGCTGGCAACACTCATTCGACCATGAAAGGGGGTCAGTATTTAAACGAGGCTTAATTTTCTAATTTTTAACGATACAATAGCGAAGATTATTATTTTAAAAAGTTTTGTTAGGCTTAACATGGAGGAAAATTCAACGCGAAGTAGGTTAATAGCGATATACTAATATACTAATTACATGGGATATAATAATATACTACACTAATTACATGGGATATAATAATATACTACACTAATAATGGATTTTTTCATACTTTTCGGTTATCCGACCAACCCCAGTCCCCAATTGAGTAAGATAATCGAGGCTCTACTGTATATACAATAGGATATGGTACAGAATATGATGCAATACAATATTTTTGTTAATTTAGTAATAATATTTAACAATTTAGAGTTATGTTTAAAATAAAATAAACATAAATAGAATTCTAGTTATGTAAATTACAATTATTTGTTTTAGTAAGGCAACTTAATGCTAAGTATGCTTACTATATGGCAAACAGTTCAAAAAGGTTCACCACCCTTGGTATAGGGAATATAGTGCAATAATATAAACTAAAATGACCATTTTCTCCCTTATATTTTTAGGGGCAACAATATTAAAATGACACACACAATACAAAATTTTATTTACATTTTATATTCATATATATCTATAATACAAGCTTATATTAGATATAATAACTAAGAAACAGTTTTATTTCATAAACCATCAATATTTAATTATCTATTAATCTATCAATAAATCAAAATTTAATTTACTGCATTATCATCATACAGAGAAAACACTATGAACTTTAAGAGTATAGAAAAAAAAAATGTATAGCTAAACACAGATTTATCACAGTCTAATAGAGGATATGGTTCAAACGGGAGAACCTTTACTTTACACTAATACTACATTTCTTATCGTTATATCGATAATCGCTATATCGAGATTTGATTATATTAGATGACTGATAACAATATCCGCGATTACAATAATTGCATCTACAGTACTGTATTATGATTTATACTTTCCCATTAAAAAAAAAAGCAAGCCGATTATATCATCGATTTTATCAATATTAACAAGACTTTTGTGCGTATTAGTTAATAGAATGAATTTTTTCTGTTATAAGTAAAATTAAGTACAGGTATTAAAAAATTTCCTCCAAGAAGTAGATAATCCTCGACTTTCGGACATAATTCGTTCCTAAAAATGTACAGTACCAAGCGAATGCCAAAGTATAGCAGTTGAATATGTACGAAAATAAGAATTTAGCATACTAAAAATTAATTAGGAGTATCATAGTATCAAGTACGAAAGAGCGAGCCGTCTGTATAAAATTATAAGATAATTCCTTCGATTTGAATAAAAATATACGTGAATAGAAGAAAAATTTGCGCCAATCATCTTTATATAAAAATTGCATAAAGTAGAGAGGTTGCGACCGACGTTTTCATTGCGAAAACGTGTACGTTGGACGTTCAGCACCGCCTTCCTGTAAGCCTAGAAGTTTGACAATGGCGTTTGGGACGTCAGTGGAATCATGCTCGACATTCCAAACGCCATTGTCAAATATCTAGGCTTACAGGAAGGCGGTGTTGAACGTCCAACGTACACGTTTTCGCGATGAAAACGTCAGCCGCAACCTCTCTAGTATCTATCATGAAATTTAAAATATTGCAATCTAAATTAAAATTATGAATAACTTTTAAAATATAAGCTTTTTTTATACAACATATCAAATATTTATTATGTATTTAAAAAGAAAACGAACGTGTATCTTTGCATATATGTTACACACAATATATAACGAAGAAACTCGAAGATTCCTGAACGGTTCGCATAAATTAAGTTAGAACCTATTAGTAATTCAAAAGAATTTTATAGCAATATTCGATAAAATCAGTCTTTGGACCTCTAAAAATAATTCAAGAAAATTAACAATTTGTCGATAATTTATCAATTTTCAAACATTCACATTACTCATTTGTTTTTTTTTTTTTCTTTACTAAGCAGACTAAATTATTATTTGTGTCGATAAATTTATGTTGAGCATTCAAAGATGTCTAACATTTTCAAAGTCTAAATTTAAAATTAAAGACAAGACATATTTATTTATTTCTTAAAATATTAAGAAAATTGCTTGAGTTAATCATCCTAGGTCAAGAATTCTTAACATTTTACTCTCACGCTTCCCTCAAAAGTGAAATTAAATATTATTAATTCCTTTTATCTTTATGTCCTTACTCTTTTAAATTTCTATGTATAAGAAATTAAATGTTTACACGTCTTTCCCCAAATTAGAATTTTATCCACTGAGAAAACAACTGCAAAAATTTGAGTTAACTCATATCTTCCTGTAGCCTTTGCAACCCCGTGGAATGATTGTTTTAAACAATGCCTCTTATATTTATGTATATTTTATGTATGTATGTTATCGGTATATAATAGAATAATTTGTAAAATTAACAACCCATAAAAATTTTTTTTCCTTTTTATCGTTTCAAAAACAGGTGCACGGAACAAATTATGCTGTTATGGCTATGTGAGAATTTTTCAAGGTCAAATAATTAACACGCTTAAAATTCGAAAATAATAAGAATTTAACCTTGTATAGCATATAAAAAATCCAAACTACTGACAAAATAAGTTACTAAACAAAAAAACATTTTAATATAAAAACTTACAATTGAAATTTGAAATTTTTCATGGGAAATCTATCCCTTATTAACCGATTGTTCTCATTATGGTCAAACCCATGACTGACATAATTAAAAGAATTTACTATTCAAAGGGCGAAGGAATAGAAAGAAAAAAAATCCAGCAAACGAGTTACTTAACTTTCCCGGTAACATTTAAAACGGCATGTGTGCCGCCATGTTATGATATAATAAAAATACTGAAATGTTTTTTAATAAAATAAAATGGTAAAAAAGCTTAATTTTGAGGGTAGGGACTGGTTTTATGAAAAATTGTAAATGCCAATAACGGTTAAAATCGTCATTAAGTCCGACCCTACTCGAGATACGACACACGACGTACCTTTCTCTCTCCACCCCGTAGACCTATAACCACCAAAATTTAACAGTATTAACCCCCCAATAGACAAACCGGCCTAAAAAAATTTCAGAAATTTTCGACAAAAAGCACGGGAGTTATTAAGCTTCAAAGAGGATGAACAAAATCGCGCTACAAAAACATACTAACAACCATACATACAAGAAAATTTTTTTGCATTTTCTCAACGCTTCAAGGTCCAGAGTCCAAAAATGTAAGAATATTAGAGGGTCATTTTTTGAACGATTTCCATACTTTCCCTCTTTATATATAACAGAGCCGGAAAAGTAAAAATTTATGGATACAAACACAATGTTTACGTGTATTTTTAATCTATTGTATTATGTAAAACGCGATTTTACGGCGAAAATAATATTTATTTGATGGATCCAAAATGGAAAATATAAACAAAGAAATACCAAAATAACAATAGTATCTAATTTTTGTCCTATTTTAAGTCAATTTCATCACTTAAATAATTGACTAATTGAGAATGAAATAAATAAAAAATCAAATTTTATTATGCAGAAAAATTAATACTAAATAAGACTGAACATATAAAGCTTATAGGAAATTCTTCAGCTAATCAGAATCGCAGGAAGAAGCATAAGCAATTTTTCTGTGCTTCTGATAAGCTGAAGTATAGAGAATAATTTTAAAATATTTAATGGAAAATGCAGATGGAATGAAAAAGCAGACAGTATACTACATATTGCACAAGATAACGCAGTGGGACGTTATAAGAAGGTTCCAAAAATAATACAAATATTGCACAATTTGAATATTCATTAAAAAATATATTTTATCTGATGAAAAAAGTGTCAGACACACGAAAACAATATCATAGCGAAGACGAAATCAAAAAAAGTAAATAATAATAAACAGTCTTCAAATTTCGGACGTAATGAAATTAATTTTCCCAAATGATTTTGATGTTACCGAAATCAAAATTGGAAGAAAGTACAACGTGAAAGCTCGAAACTTGTAAAAAAAAACCCGTAAGAAATGTAAAAATATCGAGCTAAAGGGTATAAAGTGTCACATACAACTGTACGAAGGAGCGAGTTGTCCGCAATAGAACTGCCTCAACTAATTCGCAAAAATATCAAACAACTTTTAATATTTTCACAAGAACTAATGATTTTTCGAAGTTTTTTGTTTTAAATAAACCCAGAAATCATCATCATCATTCATTCAATGAGTGAACTCAAACACATCACATATAATATTAAAATACTTTCCTGAAAACAGTATTTGAAACGATTTTAATACTGTTTTCAACATATTATTATTCTCGAATTAAAATTCAATAACTCGATTATTAATTTCACATTCAAAAATTAAAAAAAAAAAATTAGTTTTTCCAAAAAATAAATTCTACCTCTTCTAAATACCATTTCAAAAAATAACATACATTTAATAGGCTGAAACTGTTCGTACTGTATATCTACCTTAATGAATGAATGATTAGGAATACTATTCAATATTTTGCAATTATTTATAAAACAAAGATAATTGGCAAAGTTATTTTTTGGGGTAAACAAACCCAAAGTTTCAAGCTTATCCTAAGCATAATGAATTTTCTTTCATAATATTTTTAATTTCTGTTTCTAATTACTTAAGGAATTCTTTTTATTTATAACAGATAAATTTATATATATATATATTATATAGTGATATATATATATATCACTACTATTAATTCAAACAAAATTTATCTGTTTAAATAAATAATATAATTAAAAATTGATTGTTTAACTATTCTATCTCAGTTTAAACAATATTAGGCTAATTGTGACATTTTAACTAAATTATTTTAATTTAAACAATTTAACAAAATTTTTAAGCTTTCTGTATGAAATGGCTATTTTTTACTATTAATATTATATATTCTATAAAATAAACTTATGTCTTTAAAAATACAAAGTATAAATGTTCAATAAAATTAGAATTAAAAGAAAAAGGTCAATGTTCTTAACTTTATAGGCATTTTACTTAAAATATAGTATATAAATTATATATTAATTAGGCTCATTAAATTCAAATATACAAAATGCTTACACTTCAAACAAAAAAATATTATAAAATTAAATTCAATACAATTTTATTCTTTTATAAAAACCAGACAACTTTCAATAATAAGTTATTTATCATTTCCCATTTAATGAAATTTGAAAACAGGTGAGTCATTACTTTATGTAATTCTTATTAATTTTCTCACTTTTTTTTTTTAATATAATATCAAAATCAATTAGAGAAGTATAAAGGTCATACATATAGACAAATTATAACCTAATTTCTGTAAAATTTCATTTATAAAGATCAATTGAGATTAACAGAATAAAGAAAAACAATATTAATTAAAGCTTGATTAATTTAATAAAACATACCTTGATTAAAGCATTGTTAACTGCACCGTTTAACATGGTAGCCATTTCTGTATCGGGCATGATGTTTATGGAATACTAAAGAACTTCATCAATTGATATTCGATTTAATAAAGTCAAATATCTGACAGGATATAAACAATATATAAGCAAGGTGTCTACTATCAAGTACAAAGGTAGTTTTACGTAAGTAAACATTCTTGAAAATTCTATATACACTTCCTCTCGTATTTATCGTGGATAAATAAATCGATCTATTTATAATTTAAAATGAAATTTAAATTTGCTACGTTCATTAAAGCTTAGCTTAAATAATTAAAAATTCAGTAAGTGCATTTATCAAAAGCTATTTTTAATTATTAAATTAGCCATGCATCGGTTCTGATATTTTAAGCAGAATTTATAAACTAAATCAATAATTTTGCTACTTACTGGTTATGACATTTAGGTTTTTTTTTTTTTTTTTTTTTTTAAATTACGATTTCATTTTGTTTAGTATAATGTCTATCTCTTCGCCTATCGAAGTAATTTTCCTATATATTAACGAAGAAATGGTTGGTGCAGTAGTGTTTCGTCAACGCTCGACGATACGACCACATCTCGTAGCAACAACATTAACCACAAACGCATGGTCGAACTACACATGTACAAAATGCCGGTAATGCGCCACCTAAGGTTGCCAGCTCGAAAGATATTAAAATTTCTTTCAACTTCCGGTTGTTTGCGTTTACCGCATCATTAAAAAATCTATGAATTTCTCTTCTGCATTAGTTACAATCGAATGATTTTATTTTCGGATTTTTGTACACGTAAATTTTTAATTAATATATTTATTTTCCCAATAAAATTTTATGCCAATCATTCAAATGGAAACGTATGAGGAAAGGCCGCTCTGTTTTTTCTCGTCTTTCTGCCTTGTAGGCACTTAGAGGGTCTTTTTCGGGCCTATAATGAGACCGGGATAGATCTGAAAGTATTTAATGATTGAGTAGTTTGCGGCCGAGAAGAGTCAGAAGTTGTACTGTACACGATAAACTGTATAATAAACTCTATATTAATGATAAATGAGATTAATTCTTCCTTCAATTTCTGCCTTTCTTTTGACTTCTTGTTTTTCAATTGTAAGGACCCCGAAAAATTTGTAGATTAAATTGCTTGGGGTCTCTGCGAAAGAGAATCTGGCACTGACCCTATTCAATAGGTACAGAGGTATTCATATGCGGAATTTTGCGGTTATGCCTCTATCTACAGACATTTAAAACATAAAAATTGTACTATTGAACTTCGATACAACAGACTAAGAGATGAAAGCATGACAATGTCTACCGTATCCAAAAATGTCATGGCCATCCAAAGTCGATATCAGCTTAATATGAGATATGATAAGAAACACAGATAGTCTACATTGTAGTAAATATGAAGATACAAACATTACACTCACAATAAGGAACGTAAACAATAGCTGCGTCGTGCCTATTAGCGGATATTCCAAGCACTAACAGTTGCAGTTTGATATTCTAAAGCAGTGTTTCTCAACCTCTAACGAATCGTCGCCCCCTTCGACGTAGTATCGCCCCCTTAAATAAAACCGTTACGTAGTATCGCTCCTTCACTACAAAATTCCGATGCCGAGGGACAAGGCTAACGCCAAATTCGTACTGCATTGAATAGACTAGTGACTAGTATAATGTTATTTGTTTAATTATTGTACGATATAACGAATAAAATATCTAATTATTCTTAATATAATGTTTTACTTTATCGCCCAGAAAATTGTTTTTCGCCCCCAAAATATAAATTGTTGCTAATCGCCCCCTGAACATGGAAAAACGCCCACATGGGGGCGATATCGCCCCCGTTGAGAAACACTGTTCTACATTTCTGGTCCCACAGATGCCTCGGAACGAATAATTTAGTCGTAATCAGGCTCCGTAAAATCGAGAGTCGACAGTAATTTATACCTCGTAAATGATTTGAAATTAATTTTACATTATACAACTTCTGTTATCTGAATAAGTTTACATTAAAACCTATGTAACAAATTAAAAAATGAAATTCTTGAGATTAATAACTTTGTAATTTTGTAAATATCATCATCGTAATATATAATCATTCCGCCGGTGGAAAGAGAGCCAAGTTTTGGCTCACTCCACAATTAACCATGAACACTAAATTATTTAAAATGCCATCTATTATCAGTTGAACGCATTGACTACAAGTGTTTTTTGTTTTTTGTTACGAAACTTGGGGAATAAATTATTAATTAGAATATATTAAAATAAAATTCCGAGAAAAATAATCAGCATAATATATTAAAATATATCGGACGCAATATAACGTTAAATTCGCTTCGTATAGATATTAATCATAACAGAAATGAATGGTAATTTTTGAGATTTTTATTTATTTTATTCATCAATTTGTACAATTTTTAGTATTTTGTTTTCTGACACGTTCCATTAGTCGTTACTTTTTACTGGAATTCATAAAGTCACGGATAAGCGTCAGCGTAAAATCCACCCTGGAAGCTTTCCAGCAGTGCAACGATCGTTAACCCTCAGATCCATAGACAATGAGTCAAGTTACGAAGAAAATGACGTCACAGTGCTGTTCGTCTGTAGTCTGATGTCACTCAGTCGTGTGCCATGCACCTTATATCTAGTGTTTACCTGTTTAAAATGATACAGATGACTTTAAAAAATAATTTATTTTTCATTAATTTAAAATTTTGAAATACAGACAAGTCTTTCAGGTATATTTTACAACAATAAATTTCTAACTCTCATATTCTTGTAATTGTTCATTTTGTACAAAAAAAAAATATTTAAGAGTATCTGCATCTGTATCTTTTAAAACAGATGAAATATTATTGACAGATATTAATGTATTGATAGGACATAATTGACTATTTGGTATTCATAATGCCCACTGAAGAACATATCAGCTGACAAATAATGCTATAAATGAGAGTGACTGAAGGCATTGAATGCTTCTAGTTACTCGGCTGATAAGTAATAGCGTCTCATTGGTTCAGAATTACTCAAATTCATAGACTGAGTCAAGTCACGAAAAAAAAATGTCTACGTGGTATTAAAATACGAAAATTCCGAGAAAAGGTGAATTACTTGAGATAATGTAGCTTTCTCGGATTTAAAAATAATTCAATTTTCCTCGGTATTTTCATCTTTTAATACCACGTGGATTTTTAAATTGGACGCCGCCATATCGAAAGCTACAAAACAGCGAGTGCTAACTTCGCTTAGCAGCAAAGTAGGCGATGACAACGTCATTTCCGTTAACAACTACCGACTATAGACTGCCATTTTATTAAGCAAAGTTAACGGAATTTATGACTAGCAAAATAAGCGAAGCACTTAGTACCTGGAAGCACCCATTATCCTTCCAGATAAACATGATAATGAACAAGATGATGCCAACTGTTATTAAAAATAAACATAAACATTGCAAAAATGAAGATCTAATCATATTTATACAAAATTAAAAACACAATAAGCATAGAAAACATTTAAATTTATAATTATTATAAATGCAAATACCGAATTTATCTTATTATAAGGAATTGTTTTAAGATTTTATTTAATGAAAAAAACGTCACAGACTGGACTTTGGATTCACAAATAAACACACTTTTCTAAATTCGATAGAAAATGTTTGTTTCCTCCGATGTTTCAACTTTGAAAAAATCCAAAAGAATAAAAAAACAATGAGTCAAACGTAAATAATAATAACACGAATCACTGCGGAACCAATTACAATGGACACAAATAATCTGGAAGGTCGTTCTCGTGCAAGAAACAGCTTGCATTTTTTAAAGGTAAATAATAAATGCGGTGCATTTCATTGATTAATAACTTTGGGCAAACCTCTCCAGTAGAGTCATATTTATGAAATCAATAAGAGGGGGGAGAAAAACTAAATGGCGTACAGAACAAAAACGGAATTGAAAAATGTAATTGGAATAATTATCCATTTTTAATGGATGCCAAAAACATCTTCCATAAATCATAGCAATTAATGCTACAATTTTTGTTGCAAGTTACATTTTATAAATTCATTTAAAACTAATTTTTAAATATTTAAATATATATATGATTTATAAGAGTACTAAAATATTTTTTTCTAGTTCTCTACAAGCCTACTTTGGAGCAGTTTGCGAATAAAGATTGTTTGAGAGAGTGTATCTGTGATTTTAAAATGTGTGCTTTTACTCTAAATTAAAATAAATTTTAACGTATATTTTTATAAATTTTTTTTAAATATAATAGAACTTGTAAAAAGAGCTTCGTCACTTTTTCAGTTAAAAAAAATCCAATCAACTATAAAAACAAGTTCATTATGACGAAGTAGCTGCTTAATTGACAAAGTGACATCACACAACAGATCTTTTTAAGGTGGTGTTTCGTCAGTATGAACTTGTTCTTATAGTTAGTTTAAACGAGCAATTACTTATCGTAACATGGTCACAATGCCGGGCTGCAATTTTTTAATCATATTTTAATTTTAAAATAAGCTCTTTCCGTATCTGATCTCGATTTTCATCTATCTAACTCCATTCTTGCTATTAAGAAAGGAAGACGAACGACAATACGAATGTAGCTTATAGATCTGAAATTTGAAAATAGCAGTCCAATAAGAATACATTTTAAAAAATTCCAATAACCTCTATTCTTATGAATGTAATGTACATTAAACATTACAATGTCTAATTGAATTTTATTATTATATATAACATTCTACAGTCCTTGAGGAGGAGAAAAAAATAAGTTGATGTATGTAAATGGTATAAGTCACACGCTAAAATTTTTTTCAGGTTTCAAAATTCAGCAATAATTATTACCATTGATTTTTCTACAGTGTTATGACTAATCGTGCAAGATGAAAATCAATGATAAACAATCATGATAATACATGAAAATCAATGATAAACAATCGAATTTCAGAAGTAACAAATAATGGATAATAATAACAACGAGCGAATGTTTGGAAAAATAATGGTAATTCTGAATATTAGGAGAATAAAAAAAATAAATTATAATTGACAAATAACAATTAAATACAATATCATTTTTCAAATGGAATAAATAACGTGTATATTTATCAAATCCTTTCTCATTGAAAAATAGTGAAAGCTTTTGAATACATGTACTGTATCAATTTTCTTTTTTGCTTTTCGCTCTTTCCACCCTGTGGGCATTAAGAGCTAAAGAGGCTATTTTTCCCATATCAATCGTGTGTTCGCGAAGTCCGTAATTAGGAAACTAGGTGATGATGTTCACAGAACAGCAGGATGATTCCTTAACTCCGTTAGTCTGGTTATCAGCTTTAAACGTTACTACAGAGTTTTTGAAATCTTCCCTCTCTGTGGC